CAAAAGAGGACGATATCTGCTTCGTCATGCCTGGAGCTGATCCATGCTGGTTGCTGAGGAAATACTACAACTTCTCGCTGTGGATCGCCGCATCAGCTTTCACCGTGGACAAAGCGGAGTCCAGCTGGGGTCGTCACATGTGGTTGCCGCAAGCCCTCCGGACGCTCCTTCGTCGAATCCGCCACCTCTGCTCACTCTAGCAATAATGTTCTTTTTAGCAGCATCAAAAATGTAACCCCTTTAAAATGTAAAAAAAAAGTTTGAAAATAAATAGCCTATTAAGTCTAACTATTTAAGTATTTGGTGCTGTGATGAACACCACGGTGAATACAAAAATCTGAATGGCTGTTTATACCATAGATATGTATCTATGGTTTAAACTATTTAAATGCATTTTTAGAAAGTAGTGCAGCTGCTTTGTTTATGGGGTTCCCGGGGTAACGGCTGCATTTCTTCAGTTTAGCGCCATCTGCTGTCAGAGAGTGAACTTGTTTTCATTCAGTGCGTCTCCTTCACTCGTTCCGCCATGCGCTTCTCATCCGTGCTTGTTTACATGAGAGTGCGCATGCGTCTTTCACGCAGCATACATACAGCGGTGTTGTGCATTGTGACCAGTTGATGGGGAAAATATTCTCTAAATGCATTCAAAAAATCTGAATAATTTGTAAGAAATAATTATTCACGGTATTTTGAAGTTCCCACGATAACAATATCATGCATGTGCATTATCGTGATATATCGCATTACCGAATACCGGCACATGTCTAAATAGGACGCTTTTCAGACGCGCATTCTACTTCGTCTCAGCGCCAGGCGCGAGTCAAATGAGCGCGGAAAAGGTACAGGTGATAAGGGAGCTTCAGTAGAACAACAGTGAACTGTGGTCAGATGAGATGTTGTCAGGCCATATGTCAGTAAAAACGAATCTTCTATCCTGTCAGCAGTTATACTGTGCTCGTAGCGCGTGTTCTTCAACGCCACACAAAAACTGCACTGTAGCCTGTATCATTTCATATTACAGCAAAAATGAAACTATAACCCGCCAAAATAAAAGCTTGCTGATTTTAAGTTTGAAAATGAACAATTTAAATAATTCAAATTAAAATAATAATTAAGGTTCAAATTAAAATAATAATAATAATAATAAAATGTTTAAAAAAATATTAGCATTTTATTTTTAAGTTTACTATAAACATAATTGTATTTGTATTTAATACTCCCTTTTTATTTTAAAATAAAAAAGTATTATCACACTTTATTATTAAAAAAAAAAAACTAAATAAAGTGCAATAATATTATCACTATTATTATTAATTTATTTTCTATAGTTATATTTAATGGGTCACACCATGTGCCGTGTGAGGACCAAACCAAATCTCCAGGTTCTCTTCTGAGAACCAGGCTGAAAAACGTATGTGCACCCTTGGTAATGTTAGTATAGTCAACATTACATATAGTCAATGGTTAAATATTAGGGGGAAAAAAATTTCCTAGAGACATCACTAGTATTGGTATCAGTGATACTCGCCTTCAGTCATAAAAAATATGCCATTAAACAAATATTAAAATTATATATTTTTTAATGTTGTTTCTACATTAATTTGAAGACTAAATGTGAAGTTACTGCAATATAAATGTATATTTAAAAACTTTAATATTAGGTGGAATTAATAGTGATTTATTTCAGAAATAAATTGTGATTATTTCATTTTTTTTAATCGATTGATAGCACTAGTTGTAACAAAAATGAAATAAAATAGATGATAGTAATAATAAACTACAAAATGAATATATTTAAGATAAATATAAAAAATAAAATTTAAAAATATAAAACAAAAGATAAGTTAAAGAAAATTAAGACAAAAAAAACCAGATACAAATATTCTAAAATAATGGGGGGGGGGGGGGG